ATCAGGTAATATATTTGATCTTTTAACTGATTATTTATTCAATGTTTCCTATTTTCTATAAAATAAAAATGATACTTTGATTAATTAATATAATAAAGTTGTATACCAATTTGATTTATTTAATTTTTTTATCAAAAAAGTTGTGGAACTTTTTCTTTCTCTACAGATGTTTTATTCTTCAAATTTTTGTTATTGAATAAAATTTCCCTTGTTATTTTTAGTAAAAGTATTATTCTTTCTAAAATTTTAAAGTTTTATCAAGTTGAACTTTTTTTTTTGTTTTGATATTTGTAGTGGACAACAGATTAAATGGAGGTGCAAAATGTTATACTATCATCAAGCTTACTTCTGGTTGGTTTCACATGGTATATATATTCTTTCCCTTCTTTTTTTCTCTTGAAATTTCTATCATATTTAGTTATGCTCTATGATTAGTTTAATAATTTTCTTTGCTAGCTTTTATCGATTATGCCATAAGTAATTATAATTTTAGAGTCTCAAACCTTGATTTGAATTCTTATCCCAAGAATTTTTATGTGTAGACAACTTCGAAAATCATTAGAGATAACATGTAATGAATGTCATTTCACTAAAGTATAATAGTTCTTCGAAGTTCCTTACATAGAACAACCAAGTTCCATCACTATGGTACACACAACAAAAAAAATTAAAGTCACAATAAAAAAAGCTTACGCATTTCGAACCCCTCATCCAAGGAAATAAATAAATTAAAAAATTGTCACCTTAATTAAAAAAAGAAACCATAACACGAACAAATCTTAACCATTTTGTATAAACCTATAGAAATCATAGATATTATATTACAATATACATATACATCTCATAAAGTTTGTTATATGGATGCTTATGTAGATAAATTTTTTAAATGACATGTAGGATAGCCTTTTACAAAAGTATGATAGCTTCTTTTAATTATAAGTAGATAATTTTAAATTTTTTCAAATGACAAAATTATTCAAATTATAATAAAAAATTAAATCAATCTAGATATATGTTTTTTAAAATTAAAATTAATAATTTTCAAGCATTTATATTTGATCAAAATGAATTTTTAAGGCATAAAACGTAGGCAAAGTTGAAGGATTATGAAAAAAAAAAATAGGCACAAAACATATGTTTGAAAATGTGTAAACCAAATGATTATTTCATCATTTAAAACACCTCGATAATTTGCCCCATTTCTTTACATTTCCTTTTCCTTTTTCTTTTGCATCTTTTTATTTCATCACATTTGTTTTTCTTCATTATTTTCTCTTTTGAAAAGAATTTACTCATAAAGAGTTAATTCTACTTTACCCTTAGATCATTTGTAGCCTTCATCATTCTTTTAATATAGGGGTTTTCCAATCTTCATCCTTAAAAACTTTTAGGGGTTTTTTTTTTTTTTTTGCAAATTTTTTTTTTTTAAATTTACCTTCCAAAGTGAAGGGTGATTTTTAGTTAAAAATTTTTTTAAAAAAAAATTTAATAAGCTCAAAAAGGTAGTAAATGGAGAAATTTCATTTTTGCAAAATATATAAAAAAAACGGCCATTTCTCATATGAAATATAAATACCTTTTTTGATGATCATTTATTGAACATAGACTTATCTTATGGGTAAATCATCAAAAAAGACCACATACTTATCAGACATCTCTATTTTGCTTTTTAATAAATAAAAACTCCATAGAAATTTGAATTTCCTTTACATAACTTGCTCATATAACCTCATAGATAATTGTAGATGCACCATTTTTTTCTGAAAATTTTTTTGAGTTAGAATGGGCCTTTAACCATAAATTGGGCTTTGATTGGAAAACTTTAGGCCCAATAGGATAAAAGCTTCAAAATTTTTAATTTTGAGTTGTAATTTGATTTCAATTTCAATTTCAATATTGAATTTGATTTAAATTTTAATTTTAATTTAGATTTAGCTTTCTTTAATTTAGTTTAAATTTTTAGTTTGTGGTCTATTTTGGTAAAAAAAAAAAGGGTTCAAAGTCAAGGTTAAAAAAAAAAAGTAGAAGAAATAGAACAAAATGTGGGATCTTGCAAATATCTTGGATTTGGTCTTGATTAAATTGAATGTTGAGATTTAGGGATCTTTCGTGTAAGGAAAACTTGGGCTTGATTCATGAAAAATTAATTGACAGAAAAATCAAATCAAATCAAATCACAATAAAATCACAAATTTAGTGAAATTGATTTTTCCAAATTAAAAATGCATAAATCTATATAAGGACTCAAATCTGTAATCGCAAAGGAAGGAAGCAAGAGGCAATTAGAAGAGGGCCGGACAACAATAATTCACTGTCAGAGTCCATCAAAATAACCAGCAAGGCTAAAACAACAATTCGACAAGACAATTACAAGCAGCTAAGATCAATTGAAAGAGAAGACAAAACAAGCACAGCAAATCGGCAGAACCCAAAGTCAAAAAGCACTCAATCAGCAAACAATCACTAAGCCGAACAACCAACAAAGCCCAACCCAAACAACCATACCAACAAGTCAACCTAGAATCGAACCCATCAACAAATTGAGCAGGAAATCATCAACAAGCAAAAACAGAGTCGACGACATTCTTAGCACACAACTTACAACAAGACCCAATAGCCACCAGAAAAGCTTGAAGCAAACTCATCAACCCACCAAACCTTAAACCTTCAAAATCAAAAAGCAAGATAAGAAGCAATCAATAGCTCCAACCCAGAAAACAGAACCCATCAAGATTAAATAAATTATGTTCTATTTTATCAAATATTTATGTTCTATTTTTTTAAATAAATTATTTTAAGCTCTATCTGGAACCCATTGAAGCGAGGGTGTGACACAGTTGGAGTCATTTTTTTGCAAATTTGTCACACATAAAATTATTTTCAAAATTTGACCTCAAAAGAAGATTTTGACAATTGGGTATTCATCCTTTGAAAACAGATAAAACATTCTTCTTTGTCCTGCAACATCATTTTCAATGAACAATAATGCCTTTTAAATTAAAATAGCTCCATCACAGCTGTGCTAACAATTTAGTTTTTTTAACAATTCATTCTGGAACCCACACAAAACTACCAACATTGTTGACCAAATCTTTTTAGTTTTTATTGAACAAGTTGACCTTTTCCCTCTTTTAACCAAAAACTAAGTTCATTGTTAGTAAGAAATAGTATTGAATTTTATTTTTTTTAGTTATGATTGATTTGTGTATTCCTAACTAAACAATTGAAGGAAATTAAATTTTAATATTTGTAGATGGCGGTAATGTGGCCATGATAATATCATCGGTAAAATATTATTTATATGGACAATGACATTTGAAATTTTATTATAGAAACAAAAAAAAGGCACATACCGGTGTGAAATAATTCATGCATTAAGTTACACAACATTGCAAACCATTAATTTCAATCATAAAACTTATAAAAAATAATTTGCAATGCTTTTTTTTTGTTGTTTAAAGTTTTAATCATAGAAAGACAGCAAAGCTCTTTCATATCTGAGCGAATGTCATGTGTATTGTTTGACACAAGCATAACTTTGTAGATCACACTTCTATTAATCCAAACACATTTAACATATGAATTGAAGATTTTCTGTCGTTAAAGAAAATTTTATTTATATTTAAAAAAATAACAATGATTAAAAAAATTGGAAATATTAATATTTCTTTAAATTTTTTTGAATATATACAATTATCAACAGATTAAAGAAAATCAAAGAATTAATGATTTAAATAATATATTTCAAATCAATTAGTTGCTTTTAAATATCCAACATATTAATCTCTAATACATGTCTCTCACGTTATCCTTTTATATATTTTACCAACAAATAAAACTTTTTTACGTATTCTTTCGCTATAAGAATATAAAAATATATCAAGAATATCAAATTGTGAGACTCAAGTTTTTATTTTATCTATTATCCGTACTCTGCAATATTATCTATGTTCATTGTCTTCTTGTATAATTGTCATATTATCCTAGTCAAAATTCTGTAAACATGGCGGAGCAGTGTTTGTGATTATTAGTTCTAATTTCACTTTGTCAAGTTGAATGATCTCCAAGTACCATGCATCATCCATTTGTTTACTTCTGTTTCACATTGGTGTATGTTTGCCTTTTCCAACAGGCCCTAGGATGTTGTTTCTGTTTTATGCTGAGATACTTCCTTACTGGTTGGTACAAGTAAGGCAGCAACCCCAAAGAAAATGCTCTATGCTTTTGCTATACGGTTTTGTTGTGTAGAATAATTTAGTACAAGAACACGAGAGTACATCTTTCAGCTGAGACATCATTGGTAGGAATGCTGACATAGTATTGAATACATAACTCAATACTCAATCAATCATAATCCGAACAAACACTTACCAAATACAAATCATTCTCAACCCAATCTGTAAGCACACTTGCATGGCCATCAATGAGTACTCTCGCTTGATTATTTATAAATACTCTCGGTCGATCATCTATGAACACTCTCACAAGGTGTCTAACAGTCCTACACACTTACAGCTCCCCCCCCCCCTTTTTTTTTCTCTCATATCTCTTTAAATTGAAACTTCTACTTGTTATAACACCATTAACTTGCCCACCAAGATTACTTTTCCTATTAGACATCAGAAATTGGACTCGGATAACTTGGAGTTGCGAAAGTCAGTTACGTAGAAACTTGTTTAACAGGGAACAGGAATTATGGAACCAACTCACGAGCTTGTTAAACACTGTGACTTTATGGCCAACAGCTCGTGACAGGATCATATGGCAGCACACAACAAATGGACTTTTCAACTCTAAATCCTTCAGAAAAGTTCTTGATTCCAAATTAGTACCTAATTCAGCGTATGAAAAATACATCTGGAAGTAGACCTAACTATGTGAAATACAATACGATAACACGACACGAAAACAATACGAATAAAATATATGAAGATAACACGGACTTAAAATTTTAAAAACAATCATAAATATGTTTAATAAAATAAAAAAATTATATTTTATATTTTCTTGTCGATCCAAACGTGATATGTAATTTTTATATAAAACTCGATTCAAATACAATATTTTACATGAAACTGTAATACGAATTATCAAGTATATCAGGAAGGAAATCGCCTCACCTAAAGTGGAGATTTTCTGTTGGAAAGTTCTAAAAGGAGGTATTCCTATCTTTGATTTTGTACACAGAAGAAGATGTTTAGTGAACTTGGTGAACAACTGCTCTTTCTGCGAGGAAAAAGAAACTATCGATCATCTCTTTCTGCACTGCTCCTTTGCACAATAAATCTAGTACAAATTCAAATACCACATTAAACATTTCACTATAATTTAGGAGCATTCAAGGCATTAACACAAACCAAAATAATAATGTAAGAGGAGTTAGTTTGTTAATCATGCAACATAGACAAGTCCATTTCAAAAGAAAAAACCCAAAGAACAGTAGAAATACCTTTGCTGCACAGGTGGAATTCCTTCTTTCTCTTCAACATGTTCCTTAATCCAATCAATGGTATCAGTGGGTTCGATATCAATCTCAATTTCTTTCCCAGTCGGAGTCTTGACCTTGATCATGGTCCTTCCCCTAAGCCTCAAAACCAAGTGAAGAGTAGACTCCTTTTGGATGTTATAATCTGCCAGAGTTCGACCATCTTCAAGCTGTTTGCCAGCAAAAATCAATCTCTGCTGATCAGGCGGTATTCCCTCCTTGTCCCGTAAAAGTTTAGTCCACCATCAGCAAACGTTTAATAACAGGAAGAGAAAGAAAACGCAGTCTGACACAACCCCCCTCAAGCTTTTCCATGTAGTACAAATATGAAAGTAAACAAAGCACAAATAGACCTAGTGTTTAGCTCAGTTAATTCATTAAATCATTTTTAAGAGGTAATATTCAGTAGATCTAAAGTTTGAATCCCAACTCCTACAACCCATTCCGCTATTCCAGGCTACGACCTCCAATGTACCGGACAAAAATAAACAAAAACAAATTGGAGAAATTCTTGACAATTTTATTATCATTAGACTCAATCATACAATAATCATGGGTGACCATCACAATTTTTGCAACCATTTAATCCCGTCTTAGACAAAATCTGAGTAAATCTTTTACAATGGAAACTTCAGAATTCAAAGTATTTCCAATCCTAGAAAATTTCAATTCAGGCTTCACAGCATCTAATCAATTTGTCCAAACTTGGAACGACACAGCATAATTTAAGCACTATTAATTTCAAAATTTTAGCATAAAAGGAACCCAAAAATTAATAAAAATATATTTGTCATATACCCATCGAATAATTTAAGTTCGAATTCTTTTTCTTTAAACTTTATTTTTCCTTTCTGTACTCTTCTCGTCAACCAAACAGAAAGTCCACCAAGAATTCCACAGTACAATATTTAAATAAAGAAACCAAGAAAATCAATTCCTAAACCGTCACTGCAGTTTCCCTTTCACACATATTCATAGTTGATTTCCTTTATCGTTTCCTTCCTTTTGTCATCCATCAAACAAGAAGTCAACTTGCTTCACAAACCAAACCCAGATAAAAAATAGCAAAATGAAAAACGAAGAGGGCAAAAAGAAAAACCTGAATCTTGGCCTTGACATTATCGATACTATCAGAGCTCTCAACCTCGAGAGTAATAGTCTTCCCAGTAAGCGTATTCACATAGATCTGCATCTCTTTTTTTTTAAAAAAAAAATTTTCTTCCAACAAATTGAGAGGACCTGATGCTGTAATCCAGTTCTAGGGCTGGCTGAAGATAGATTGCAACATTTGAGAGTATTTATAGTAGGTTTTTTTAAATACACAGTCAGGCATCAAATCATATATATATATATATATATATATAATATTATATTATATTACAAAATGCAGAAATATCAATTAAATATTGTTTATATGGATGTTTATATAAATAATTTTATTATTTAACACGTCAAAAATTGCTACAAAAATTTGCTTACTTGAATATTTACATTAGAAAACTTCTAAATTGTTGACAATAAGATATAATTTAGATACATTATTTTTTTAAAAATTAAATAAAATTTCGAATAATCTAGAAATATATTTTTTAAATTTAAGATTTTCAAATGTGATAATACATTATCTTTTAAAATTTTTTTACTTATAAAAAATTATTCAATAAATTTGTTTATTTGTATATCACTATGTAAATAATTTTTAAATTGTTTGTAACAAATTTAAATTTGAATATATTATCTTTTTAAATAAATAATAATATATATTGTCGTAACGATTTTGTGTCCGTCTGATGAATTTGAAAATGAAATAAAATATAACGGAATCGCAACTAATTTTTTTTTGTTAGGTGCGATTGGCCATCTATTAAAATATATCATTTTAATAAAATTTTAAAATTAATTAAAATTTATTAAGAGGATAATTTTAGGGTTTGCGTAACGGTTTGGGTTCGGGAGTCGGTTACGTGTGGGGAAGAATTAGCACCTTCACAACGCCCGTTTAAAACGGTACTAATTAACTATGTGTTATCCATTGATTTTAATATAAAAAGTCTTATTTTTTATGTTTGAAAAATAATTTTTTTACTTTTTTTCATTTGTTGAAAATTTTTTAGTGCTCAAATTTTATTTGAGAAAAATAAATTAAAACTCTTTTATCGAAATAATTCTTAAAATATTCCAGTTAATTGGTAACATTAGAAGAACCTTTCATTACCTAGAGATTTCTTAGGAATTGTTTCTCGGAATACCTTAAAATCTCATCATTGGAGGCTCAAATTTACTTTTTGTAAAAAAACTATATCATGCATGCAATGTAGAATGTTACCATATTGATGCACATATTTTATTCTTTTTTTTTATTTTTTTAATTGTTTTATTAATATTTTCATTTAGAAAAAAAGAAAAGTGAAATTTTTATTATATTGAAATTTTTTTTATAAATATTTCAATATACTGGTAATATTTAAAAAAACATTCTCACCTAAAGATTTCGTAAAGTATCACTACTTGAAATACTTTTAGAATCTCATTGGATAATTTTTTTTTTCTTATTTTTTATTACTATTCCTTTATCACTTTATTTTTCAATAAATTAGTTAATTTTATTTATTATTAATAGAAAGAAAATTATTATATTAAAAATTTGGTATAAATACTCCAATACACTGGAAGTATTTAAAAAAAATTTCTCACCTAGAGATTTCATAGATATCACTACTCGGAGTATCTTTAAGTCTAATTATCGAATAAAAATATTTTTTCTTACATTTTTTTATTAATTTATAAGATTTATTCTAAAATTAACAAAATTATCAAAAAAAAACTTTATTATATATTTTATCATATATTTTTACTTATTTCAACAAAAATTTATTCTAATAAATATAAATATTTTAATAGGCATGAATATTAATAATAAAATTTAAAATAATATATAAAAAAATTAAAAATTTTTTTTTTTATTTGAACCGAACCTGTTAATGGTCCGGTCAACGCCAGTCTGGGCTGGTTCAGCGGTTCAATCCGGTTTGATCCGATTGGTTCAAGTTTAGTGATTTGGCATCGGTCTAGTCTAGTCTATGCCGATTCAACTGGACCGATCAAGGGATAAAAGGGAGAACGGGTTATTGGGTTAGGTGCACAGATTTCGGGTCGAGTTGCTAGTCGACGTGCGGATCCTCTGGGATTGAAACGAGGTCATTTTGCTTTCTCCTAAACGTGATTTTGAAAAGCTATTTAGGCCAATCAACTTTTGTGCTTCTTCTCTTCTCTCTCAGATGACTTTTAATTTCTTTTCTAGCATTCAGAAATCGATCACTACTCCATCGTGCGGCACGTTTCGATCACCGAAAATCCTAGATTCACCAAATGAATGATCTCAGCTGTTTTAAGTCTGATCCAAGCCTGTTTTTGTAATACTCCACATGACGCAATCTAACTAAAAGATTTGGCCAAAATTTTTTTTGTCTGTATTTTTTTGTTTGATGTTGTGTCCTGGTTTCAATAGGCTGTTATTTATTGTTTGAATGTATTGGTTTGCTTTGAATTTTTTTAATTTGATAAGTATCTTTTTTTTTAATCTGGTAGATTTTTTTAAGGGTTTCGAGCTTTTTTTTCTGGTGATGTTTTTACAGCTCTATTTATAGAACAAAAAGAAAATCAAAATCTCATATTTTTTGAGATTTTAATCACCTACGATTAGGGTAGTCACCGACTATCAGAACAGCTACTGGTGGCTGTCAGAGCCGCTGTCAGAAAAAGAAAAGAAAATGAAAAAATGAAAAAAAAAATGAAAAATGAAAAAAAAAATAAGTAAATAAATAAATAGATAAATAAATGGTGTCAACATACATAAATTATATTATAATATATATAGTTAGCATATAGCATTTGCTAACGTAGATACTTATGTAGACAGTTTCTTTTTTTGACACATAAAATAATTCTTAAAACTTCTTATTATGATGACACGTAATATATTTATTAATTTTAAATTATTTATAAAAATATTTTTTTATAAATTATTAAATTATCTAAACTTTTTAAAATTTAATCAAAAACTAATTTAAATTATAATAAAATTTATTTCTCTTATACATGACCTCATCTCAATTTAAAACTAATTTTAAAGTAATTTATCTTTTTCAATTTATCTGCACTTAATATTATTATTTAAATTTATCATAATTTTTAAAAATATTATTTAATATCTTTAATATTTTTTATAAATAATTATTGTATTATTTTTTATTTTTAAATATATTGTTAGAGATAAAATAATTTAATAAATAATCCACTAGCTTTAAAAAATATATTGAAATATATCAGAATTAAAATAAAATTTAAATTTAAATCAATATTTGTCATAGACTTTTAATATTAATATTTTGAGAAAATATAAAAAAATATATACATATATACATATATATATAAATACCAAAACAACTTCAGAAAAGCTCTCATTATTGATAGTTCTTAGTTATATAGTTTTCCCAATGCCCACGAAGTATATGAGCTAAACATATTTTTTTCACTATTAATTTAATCTCGCTTTTTATTAGTCTATTCCTACTATAAGAACTAACATACTTTTTTTTATAATAGGTACTAATTCACTAAGCATTTTATTCACTCCATTGGGTAGGATTTTTTTTTTCAAATCAGCTGTAATATTTCTTTTATCTATTCTAAAATAGTAATAAATTTAATTAGAACCCATTTAAGGTAATATCTTTTTTTATTATCATTTAAAAACAAATAAGAAAATAAACTAAATAAATTTGTTTAATTTATTTATGAAAATGAAATCGCAATGCACAATTAAATAACATTAAGAAGAAAACTTGTGTTATATAACTTTTAAACTCTAACAAGCCATGTTGGTCACTTTGATGAAATTTCTTGAGTCTAGAATTATCAAATAATTATTTGATTAGATATTTCTCTATGAAAGATAAAGGTATAAAACACCAAAATTTAAATATTATTATCTGATTAGATGTTATCCATGGATAAAATTATTATTTAAATATATTTATGGATTAAAGTTATCAAAATTTAAATGAAAAATCAAATTAAATATAAGATAATTAAATAGATAAAATTATTATTTAAATATATTTATGGATTAAATAAATTATCTAGCTTGATTCTTTTATGGCTTTTTATTCAACTTATTTTTCAAACAATATTCCATCTTTTCACAAACTTTAGCATTACTTTTTTCATTACTATATACATTTAAAGGTTCTTCCATTTAAGGTGGATTTATTTTTTCTTTTCTAAATTTGGTTTAGGTAAGCTCTTTTAGTTTAATTTTGACTTTGTTTTTTCATATTATTGGTACAAAACTACAAAAATAACATAAATTGTTGATATTTTACTGGTGTTGGTCTATAGACCTTTTATTTTTTCATGGTTATTCATTCAATCAGGTAATATATTTATCTTTAAACTGATTATTTATTCAATAATTCCCTATTGTAAAAATAAAAATCGATGCTTTGATTAATTAATATAATAAGTTGTATACCAATTTGATTTATTTAATTTTTTTATCAAAAAAATTGGGGAACTTTTTCTTTCTCTGCAGATGTTTTATTCTTCAAAATTTTGTTATTGAATAAAATTCCCCTTGTTATTTTTAGTAAAAGTATTATTCTTTCTAAAATTTTAAAGTTTTATCAAGTTGAACTTTTTTTTTTGTTTTGATATTTGTAATGGACAATAGATTAAATGAAGGTGCAAAATGTTCTACTATCATCAAGCTTACTTTTGGTTGGTTTTACATGGTATATCTATTCTTTCCCTTTTTTTTTTCTGTTGAAATTCCTATCATATTTAGTTCTGCTCTATGGTTAGTTTAATAATTTTCTTTGCTAGCTTTTATCGATTATGCCATAAGTAGTTATAATTTTAGAGTCTCAAACCTTGATTTGAATTCTTATCCCAAGAATTTTTATGTGTAGACAACTTCGAAAATCATTAGAGATAACATGTAATGAATGTCATTTCACTAAAGTATAATAGTTCTTCGAAGTTCCTTACACAGAACAACCAAGTTCCATCACTATAGTACACACAACAACAAAAATTAAAGTCACAATAAAAAAAATCTAGCTCATTTCGAACCCCTCATCCAAAGAAATAATTAAATTAAAAAATTATCACCTTAATTAAAAAAAGATACCAGAACACGATCAAATCTTAACCATTTTGTATAAACCTATAGAAATCATATATATTATATTACAATATACGTATACATCTCATAAAGTTTGTTATATGGATGCTTATGTAGATAATTTTTTTGAATGAAATGTAGGATAGCCTTTTACAAAAGTATTATAGCTTCTTTTAATTA